ATTTCTAGAGTAAGACCCAGAAGGTGAGTGGGTTCACAAACTAGCATTCTGGCAGGGAAAGGGAATCTCAGAGAATGGCTCTAGGTTGGGCCAGCTTATGTGGTGAGGGTGGTTGGTGTACATATAAAGAAGCATAACACCAAAAGGCAGCATGGAAAACTCGTATATATATCCTTTGGTCACCTAATGTGTCACATAAATGAGCCCATTTGGTCCTGCTCGCCAACAGAGGTGATCTCATGTTGCATTAGCCATGTAATCAGCAGCTGCACCAGCCCGCACCAGACTTTGAAAAAAGAATCTTTCCTCACATACCTAATGACCTCTTTGGACACTGGGTATGCTTGAGCTTTGTGAAAGTTGAAACCAGACCAGGGGGAGAAGAAAATCCCATGGAAAGAGGGAAGGGAAGCTGGTGAATTTGATTAGTTACTGAAGGAAGACTAATTTTTAGAAATGACTGAAGGATACTGAGTCCCTGAGAATGGGATAGAATATATTACTGGCTCTGAACAGACCAAAGATGGATGTGTATAGGTTAAAAAAAAAGTCTGTTTGCACACATCTGTTTTGTCCAGTCATACCTGCTGCGTGACTATTTGTTGAAATAAATCACTGAATAAATTTTTGGCAGGTTAGACGCTTCTTAAATTCTATCTACAAGGCAGATAAAAGGAAAATCCTGGTTTTGGGGAAGTGTCAACAAAACAAAATAGCTACTCTCTTTGTGTGACTCACTTTCTAGCTACTGCCTTTGGCTACTGATGCCTGCCCTATCTCTTGGTACCACCTGTAAGAGGGATACAGATGCTAAAGATAACATTTGATGTTCCTTATTCCTATGCTTTGAGTCCTCATTCATGTTAAAATTGCATAGGGGAAAAGAAGCCAGACCACTAAGACTGTACACATACAGTTAATAACAGTGGTTTCACTACCATTCCAACAATGACTTTGGGGAAGATCCTTCCCTGATTTGTGACAGTCAAGTAATGTCATCAGTGCAACAGCCTTGTTCACCCAAAGTACAGGTTCTACAGAGCAAGAACCTAACCAATCCCAATGAAATTTAAAATTCTAGACTACCTTCTCTACCTCTGCTTTTCCCTCCAGAAGCTGTGTCTTTCCTCTCTAGTTTCTTATATAGCACTGTCATATTCCAGCAATTAGTAATTGTAAAATAATAGAAATGAAATCATTAGTAACTTATAATTATCTTCTTTCCCAACATATAAGATCCTTTACCATGAATCGTCTTGCCAATAGATCACAATTCATCTTGATAACAGGTTTGATAGAGTTACATGAGACATGAATCTGGCTCATTAATGTCATTATTGTTTTTAAACTCTCAGTGGCAACAGTGCTTCCAAAATATTAATTAATCTTCATGATTTCTCTGTAAAGTAGGTTAAATATAACTAAACTCATTTCACCAGTAGAGGAATTGTCAAACAGGTGATCTCCTCAATGAATTTCTCTTCATTACCAATAGATCCAAGAATAGAAATAGAAAAACTGAATCTAATTCATTTTCTATGACACTAGACAGACATGACTCTTGTTTGCTATTAAGGCTACCCCCACAAAACTCTTAAGAGATCCATAACAAAATAATAAATGCTTTATAACAATATAAATGCTTTATAGCAAAAATGTGAGTTCTGAAACATTTTTATCAACTTCCTTACAAAATGCTCAGAAGTAAATCAGCATCAATGGTCATTACAGCATGCACTGTGCTTTCTTCTCTTCCCTTTCCTTGCTCTCAAATTTTCATTGTTCTTTAGAGATTCACTATTCAATCATCACTACTTATATTTATGTAATACATTTCCTCTGAAGAGCTTGAGGCATTGTGGTGAAAAATAAGGACTATATCGGACCTAAATTTAATGCTTCTATCACACCTCTGCTCTTATCAGATGGAAATGGTGTAGCTCAATGGCAAGGACATGGGTTCAAATCCAAGGCCTGCACCACTGATTTGTTGTGCATCTTTGGAAAAGCTATTTTCTCCAGTTGCTGTTTTCTTGTTTCTAAATGAGAATCATCTTACTCCATAATGCTTGGCGCTTTAAAAGTGATCACTAACAGGGGTGCCTGGGTGGCTTAGTCATTAAGCATCTGCCTTCGGCTCAGGACATGATCCTAGGGTCCTAAGATCGAGCCCCACATGGGGCTCCCTGTTCCATGGGAAGCCTGCTTCTCCCTCTCCCACTCCCCTTGCTTGTGTTCCCTCTCTTGGTGTGTCTCTCTTTGTCAAATAAATAAATAAAATCTTTAAAAAAAATAAAATTGATCACTAACAGAGTACATTATTAATCATATAAATCAGTGACTTGGCCCCAAAACCATGAAAAAAGGAATGAAGGGCTCCTAATGGGAGGATGTGATATTAGGTATGTGCATTTAGAGATTTTCCTTACCATGATAACCATTGAGCGGCTCTTAATACTGTACAAGAAAATCTTTTCTTAATTCAGAATAATGGTTGGCACATAGTAGATATTAAAAAGTATTTTTGAATGAATGAATAAAAGCCACTTGCTTCCAAAGACAAAAAGAGGAAAAAGGGATAATACCCGTGTTGTGTCCTCTGTGTACACTTGACCATCCAGATCTCATTAGGATATCAATGATCCAAGAACATAAGGAAAGAGGAAAGTTCGAAGTGTGAGATAGATGGAAGAAGGAAAGTAGAAATAGGAAGCACTGGAAAAAAATTCATCTTCTGGAAAATACTATAATCCTCCAGTTTACTGGTGAAGAATATGGGGAAAGGTGGCATTTTATGACAGGTTATTCCTTCATTTTTAAAAAATTTTAAGAGTTTATTGGGTTTCTGGTTGGTTCAGTCAGTTAAGCATCTGACTCTTGATTTCATCTCAGGTCATGGTCTGAGGGTTGTGAGATTGAGCCCTGCATCAGGCTCCCCACTCAGCAGGGAGTTTGTTTCTCTCCCTCTCCTTCTACCCTTCCCCCTGCACTCTCTCTCTATAAAAAAAATAATAAATCTTAAAAAAAAACTCCTTTTACTTATTTTTTTAAAAAGATTTATTTATTTATTTTAGAGAGAGAGAGTGCATGAACAGAGGGAGGGGCGTAGGGAGATGGAGAGGGAATCTCAAGCATAGTCCATGCTGAGTGTGGAGCCCAGTGTAGGGCTCCACCCTGGGAACCTGAGAGTGTGAACTGAGCTGAAATCAAGAACTGGATGCTCAACTGACTGAGCCACCTCGGTACCCATACCTCTTCTTTTAAAATATAGAAATATCATGGCACAAGAAATATTGTGCTAGACCTAGTGGACTAGTTCTACTTAAAACCTTAAAATAAGTTCCCATTTCAACTCATCAAATTAAAAGAATGTACCTCTAAACAATCCTAAAATTTGTATGGAACCATAAAAGAACTCAAGTAGCCAAAGCAACCTTGGAAAAGAAAAACAAAACTGGAGGTATCACAAGTCCAGATTTCAAGTTATATTACAAAGCTGTAGTGATCAAAACAGTATGGTACTGACACAAAAATAACCACATAGACCAATGGAACAGAATAGAAAACCCATAAATAGATCCACAGTTATATGGTCAATTAATCTTCAACAAGGGAGGAATAAATGTAACAATGGCAAAAAGACTGTTCTCTTCAACAAATGGTGTTGGGGAAACAGGATAGCAACATGAAAAAAAAAAAATGAAACTGGACCACTTTCTTACACCATACACAAAAATAAACTCAACAGGGATTAAAGACCTAAATGTGAGACCTGAAACCAGAAAACTCCTTCAAGAGAGCACAGGCAATAATCTTTATGACATGGGCTATAGCAACTTCTTCTAGATAGGTCTCCTGAGGCAAAGGAAACAAAAGCAAAAATTAACTATTGGGACTTCATCAAGATTAAAAGCTTCTGTACAGTGAAGGAAACAATCAACAAAACTAAAAGGCAACCTATGGGATGGGAGAAGATATTTGCAAATGACATATCTGGTAAAAGGTTAGTATCCAAAATATATAAAGAACCAATACAACTCAATACACAAAAACCAAATAATCCAATTAAAAAATGGGCAAAAGACATGAACAGGCATTTCTCCAAAGAAGACATATAGATGGCCAACAGACACATGAAAAGATGCTCAACATCACTCATCACCAGGAACATGCAAATCAAAGCTACAATGAGATATCACCTCACACCTGTCAGAATGGCTGAAATCAACCACACAAGAAACAGTAGGTGTTGGAGAGGGTGTGGAGAAAGCAGAACCCTCTTGCACTTTGTAGGAATGCAAACTGGTGCAGCCACTCTGGAAAATAGTATGGAGGTCCTCAAAAACTAAAAATAGAACTACCTTATAATCCAGGAATAACACTACTGGGCATTTACACAAAGAATACAAAAGCACAAAGTCAAAGGGATACATGTACCCCAATGTTTATAGCAGCATTATCTACAATAGCCAAAAAATGGAAGCAGCCCAAGTGTCCATTGACTGATGAATGGATAAAGAACAAGTGGTGTACACACACACACACACACACACACACACACACACACACTGGAATATTATTCAGCCATAAAAAAGAATGAAATCTTGCCATTTGCAACAACATGGATGGAGCTAGAGAGTTTAATGCTAAGCAAAATAAGTCAGTCAGAGAAAGATGAATTCCATATGATTTCATGCCTATGTAGAGTTTAAGAAACAAATAAGCAAAGGAAAAAAAGAAGAGAGGCAAACAACAAAACAGATTCTTAACTATAGAGAACAAAATGATGTTAACCAGAGGGTAGGTGGGTGGGGGATGGGGGAAATAGGTGATGGGGATTAAAAAATGCACTTATAATGATAAAAAAAAATACAATAAGATGAAAAAAAAAATGACCCAACAATGTACTCCTAAAACTGAAACAATAAACAAATAAACCAGAAATGGCCCTGTATTTGTTTTAATGGAAATAAACTATCAGCTGATGCCTTGAATATTACCTGTGTAGATATATTCCACATATGCAGGATGAGTTTTTGTGAAAACCTCTCTTACTTTTTCTATTTTATCAGCTCTGATTTTTGTTGCAAATGGTGTATACATAACTGAGAAAGATTCCGCTCTGGTGATGGCTTCTTCAATCATGGCCTGAGAGGAAGCAAACAACCCATATGGCATCAATAACAGTATATGACTTTTTACGAATGTAAAAAATATAATTACCTTTATGGATGATTTAAAAATCTATATACTGTACTGCAAAGATAATATATTTTGGTCTTGAATATTCATTTGAATAAAATTTTAATTAGTTCTGGAAATACTATTTCATATTAAGAAAACCAATTAAATGAAGAAAGTTTGTAAACAGGCACCTCTACACTGAGCTTGCTTTAAGATAAAAATAAAAATTCTATTTTCCAAGGTGTCATTTTTTACTTGATTTTAAAAATCAAGTTCTTAAGTCTAACATAATTATCCTACTCTCCAACAGACATTGATGAGCAATCTGTACTTAAAAAAATTAATTGAAATATCTAGTTCTAAGTATTTTCTATAAATAACACAACAAACTAGACAAAGTTTGTTTTTTTGGCAAAGTACATTTTTTTTTCTTCTTCCACTATGTGGGAAAAACTCTTGGAATCAGAAAAACCTTTCCCAACTTTCTCCCACTGAAGCTTCCCTTCCCTCCAGATCACAAGAGCCACTTGAGATGGATTTGGCTATTTAAGAATTTCTTTAAATTTTCTTTGCTCATGTACTTTCTTGATAAAGCCTGCCATCACCCTGAGCTTCCTGTTTTAACTAGGTCCATTACTATTTGAAACAGACCAAAAAGAAAGTTATGTGAAGTTTTAAAAGGAATTTATTCCTTTCCTACTTTTCCTTCTAATGAGGCTTAACCATTGAATAAAGAGTGGAAATGCCCATAGTTATCTCATTTTTCTGAAAATAGCATAAAAGCATATTATAAAAATTCATATTTATTTATAGGAATAATTTTTTTTCAGTGACAACTAAGAGTGCCAACAACCCTAAGGAAAAATAATAGATTTGAACTGTCCAACAAAAGAAAAACCATTTAACAAACAGCAATTTATATTATTACTGGCATAGCATTTTGTAAACAAGTTTCTGATTGATATTAAGAGCAATAAGGAGTTGATTTTAAACTGAGAAACCTAATTTAACTCGTTCATTGCCTAATCTGTTTCTCAGTGGCTTCAAATGGCCTCTATGATCATCTATATTGTGTGTAAAAGAGCAGCTTTGTAAACATTTTCTGGATACAAAAGTCCTCCTTTCGGGACGCCTGGGTGGCTCAGTCGGTTAAGTGTCTGCCTTCGGCTCAGGTCATGATCCCAGGGTCCTGGGATCGAGTCCCGCATCGGGCTCTCTGCTCCGCAGGGAGCCTGCTTCTCCCTCTGCCTCTGTCTCTCTCTCTGTCTCTCATGAATAAATAAATAAAATCTTTAAAAAAAAAAAGTCCTCCTTTCTCTGAGACTCTCATTAGAAAATTATGTAAACTTTCTAATTTACATTTTAAATTTGTTGTGGGGCAAATTTCTGAATGGCTGAATGAAAGAACTTACATTGCCCCTTCCAGGTTTGAGGAACTGGTAGGGGAACAAAGAATTCAACTGTGATTCCAAACCCAGAGCCAGCACTCAGCGGAGATAGCAATGGATTACGAACATGCAACAGGACCTGGGTACTGAGGCCTGGATGCCAGCTTTGGAAGGCCAATAAGGTCTGGAATTCAGAGATGTGGACTGAGAACTCAAACATAGCATTTAGGCACCAACTTCTGTCCTCCAGCAAAAATAAAGATCCTTTATACTAAGTAGGAGAATAATTTTTCCAGTTTGGGGCTTACGTATGTTCACTGCTGGAACCAATCTGGGGATGGCCTGTCCAGACCAAAAATGTAAGTAGTCATACCTAGATGAGTGTGGAGGATATGCTGAAGAGGAAAGCTGTATTAGACCTCAGTTGGAAGGTCACAATCTGACTTTTCTACCTTTTATAACTGTTCCTTTATTAGCTTGCAGAGTTGCTATAATGAAGTATCACAGACCGGTGCCTTAAAGGATGCAAATTTATTTTATCATAGTTCCAGGGGCTAGAAGTCTGAGATCAAGGTGTCTGCAAGGTTGATTTCTTCTTAGGCCTCTCTCCTGGGCTTGTAGATGGCTCTGTAGCTTCTCCTTGTGTCTTTACATTGGTTTTTTTTTTTCTGTGTATGTCTGTATCCTAATCTCCTCTTCTTATAAGGACATCAGTCATATTGGTTTAAGACCCACCTAAAGACCTCATTTGAACTTAATTACCACTTTAAATACCCTATTTGCAATGCAGTGACAATCTGTAGCACCTGGTTAGGACTTCAGCATATGAATTTTAGGGGGACACAATTCAGCTCATAATAGTTCCTAACTCCCAAATAGCTTTTCTGATGGTCTCTCTAAATATCTTGATGAAGGGCATTTTGCTTTAAATTCTGGACCAAAAAATATTAATGAAGTTATTTAATCCTTTAGTTTATTTCGAGAGAGATATTAACAGTATCCCAGTAAGGCCAGGATAGAAGAAACCACTCTCTCCATTGCATTTCTTTTCCAACTGCTGGCAGCTTAAGTGACTGCTGGCAGGGTAACTTTGCTAAGCCATCTCACAGCAGGGACAGTAAGACTCGTGCCCAAGAGCCTATACCAGCTTTTTTGCAAGTGGCAGACGTGTGGTTTTTGTGTGGCAGCTTGATCTGTTCATTTAAGGCACTGTACTCTTGGCTTGATGCTCAACGAATTGTATTTAGGCTTTCACAGGGCTCTCCACTCAGGAGGGTGTGTGCTGGAGCACAGGTTTCCTTTCTTCCTAATCAGAGCCAGTAGAAATAGGATGTTTTTTGTGGCTTCTGCCCTCCATGTTGAAGATGGGTAAGGAAGTAATCTACTTTTTATCATCCCTGAAAGATTTTCCTTGATTTTGAAGATAAATAGAGGAAGAGACCAAGTGAGGAATTGCAGCTTGTAAAAAGTAAGCTGTACTAATAAATTTGTTTCATTTCTATACACCAATAATGAAGCAGCAGAAAGAGAAATTAAGAAATCAAGCCCATTTACAATTGCACCAAAAATAATAAGATACCAAGGAATAAACCTAACCAAAGAAGTCAAAGACCTGTACTCTGAAAACAATAGGACACTGATGAAAGAAACTGAAGATGGCACAAAGAAATGGAAAGACATTCCATGCTTGTGGATTGGAAGAACAAATATCATTAAAATGTCTATACTTCCCAAAGCAATCTACACATTTAATGCAATTCCTATCAAAATACCAAAGGCATTCTTCCCAGACCTAGAACAAATAATCCTAAAATTTGTATGGGACCATAAAAGAACTCAAATAGCCAAAGCAACCTTGGAAAAGAAAAACAAAACTGGAGGTATCACAAGTCCAGATATCAAGTTATATTACAAAGCTGTAGTGATCAAAACAGTATGGTACTGACACAAAAATAACCACATAGACCAATGGAACAGAATAGAAAACCCATAAATAGATCCACAGTTATATGGTCAATTAATCTTCAACAAGGGAGGAATAAATGTAACAATGGCAAAAAGACTGTTCTCTTCAACAAATGGTGTTGGGGAAACAGGATAGCAACATGAAAAAAAAAAATGAAACTGGACCACTTTCTTACACCATACACAAAAATAAACTCAACAGGGATTAAAGACCTAAATGTGAGACCTGAAACCAGAAAACTCCTTCAAGAGAGCGCAGGTAATAATCTTTATGACATGGGCTATAGCAACTTCTTCTAGATAGGTCTCCTGAGGCAAAGGAAACAAAAGCAAAAATTAACTATTGGGACTTCATCAAGATTAAAAGCTTCTGTACAGTGAAGGAAACAATCAACAAAACTAAAAGGCAACCTATGGGATGGGAGAAGATATTTGCAAATGACATATCTGGTAAAAGGTTAGTATCCAAAATATATAAAGAACCAATACAACTCAATACACAAAAACCAAATAATCCAATTAAAAAATGGGCAAAAGACATGAACAGGCATTTCTCCAAAGAAGACATATAGATGGCCAACAGACACATGAAAAGATGCTCAACATCACTCATCACCAGGAACATGCAAATCAAAGCTACAATGAGATATCACCTCACACCTGTCAGAATGGCTGAAATCAACCACACAAGAAACAGTAGGTGTTGGAGAGGGTGTGGAGAAAGCAGAACCCTCTTGCACTTTGTAGGAATGCAAACTGGTGCAGCCACTCTGGAAAATAGTATGGAGGTCCTCAAAAACTAAAAATAGAACTACCTTATAATCCAGGAATAACACTACTGGGCATTTACACAAAGAATACAAAAGCACAAAGTCAAAGGGATACATGTACCCCAATGTTTATAGCAGCATTATCTACAATAGCCAAAAAATGGAAGCAGCCCAAGTGTCCATTGACTGATGAATGGATAAAGAACAAGTGGTATAAATGTACAATGGAACATTTTTCAGCCATAAAAGAATGAAATCTTGCCATTTACAATGACATGGATGGAGCTAGAGCATATTATGTTAAGAGAAATAAGTCAGTCAGAGAAAAACATTTGTGGAATTTAAGAAACAAAACAAACCAGCAAAGGGAAAAAAATAGAGAGAAGCAAACCAAGAAACAGACTCCTAACTATAGGGAACAAACTGATGGTTACCAGAAGGGAGGTAGGTGGGAAGGATGGGTTAAATAGGTGATGGGGATTAAGGAGTGCACTTGTGATGAGCACTGGGTGATGATAGAATTGTTAGATCAGTATATTGTACACTTGAAACTAATATTACATTGTATGTTAACTAACTGGAATGTAAAAAAGTATGTTAACTAACTGGAATGTAAAAAACCTTAAAAAGGGCGCCTGGGTGGCTCAGTTGGTTAAGCAACTGCCTTCGGCTCAGGTCATGATCCTGGAGTCCCGGGATCGAGTCCCGCATCGGGCTCCCTGCTTGGCAGGGAGTCTGCTTCTCCCTCTGACCCTCCTCCCTCTCATGCTCTCTGTCTCTCATTCTCTCTGTCTCAAATAAATAAATAAAATCTTTAGAAAAAAAAAAAAACCTTAAAAAA